TAGCTGACTAGTATCCGTACTCCGTACCGACTGAAGTGTAAACCGGCCTAGTCCTGGTCATGGGAAATGCGTTTCTGGCCGAATTCTCGTCGTCGATGTCGATGGTGGGTGGGAACAAGGTATGCGCCAGTCGAGCTGTGAGCACGCGAAAGACCATGGAATGTTTCGGATGCCGTACCTTGGAGACTTCCATGATCTTAGATAAGGCACTTCAGGTAGGTACCTTGGGTATCTACCCCGTACCTTCTCCAAGTCGAGAGACCACCGACTGGCAAGACTACCTAAGGTGGCAGTCACGCAGTCACGCAGTCAAGCAGTCTGGCAGGAGAGCCGTTACGGCACTGGGGGAGGTGCCTTCTAGGTCGACTTGCCGCACCCGAGCAGCCCCGCGCTCATCCACCAAACCGACGGGAAGCTAAGACATGGGAGAGTGCCTACCTTACCCAGGCACACAGACAATTGGAAGCCAGATTCCCAGGTACCTTCCTTGTCTTACCTAATCTTCCGTCTCATATATGAAAGTGAGGTGGTCATCTTACCTCCTGGTGTGCTCCTTCCGAGCCTCACCAGTCCCGTTGGTCAAGGCAGGCAGGCACGTAGATAGGTAGATAGGTAGGTAAGCAGGAAGGTAGGCAGGAACCTGTACCTTCCATCGAGATTCGAGCAAGTCAATGACAGGGCATCACGGGAAGGTGGGTGTCCTCAGGTGAGGCAGGCGCGGCAACACGGCTCAATATGTGCTCCTTCTCCATTCGGATGTTCTAGCCAACATTGCATCGTACCTAAGCTACCTGGCTGCTGAAGGCTCACCAGCACCCATCGTCCAGCCCATTTTTGGCCTGATCCATCATCACTCTGCCATCATCCTCTGGCCTGTCATTGCCATCGCCGTCCCATGTCATTTCTCATCTCCCATTGCCTACCGACATTCTCCATTGAAATCTAGCTTGCTGCTTGGGTCTACCGTCTTCCAACCTCGTACATGGCGTTCCTCGGGGCGGATCCATGTGTGTTAGCAACCCCGCCACTCTCACCGAAGCAAACTGGGCCCAACATCATCAAATCGTCAAAAGTTATCAACCGCCAGCCCACTCACTCTTACACGCCCACTTCTATATTCAGCCTCCAAGACCGTTCCGTACCCGTACGAGGAATATCGATAGTCCATCGCCAGACCCGCCTGCATCGTCCCCCTTCCTCTCTCTATGGGTTCCTTGGAACAACAGAGCGATCGCCATATCTTGCAAGTGGCCTTTCGTCTAGACTTGTCTGCACATGAGAATTCTACAGCTTGCTAGGCACAATCGCCACGGCGAGCCTACGATCGTCCTTTTCCTCCTACTTTGTCGGTTCAAATTCGGTCTTCCCGTCCGTGTCCGACCCATAATGCACACACAAAGTACAATCAGAGTGAGGGATCGCATTGTGACCAGGCCGTTCTTTGGCCAACCTTCGGTACAGCTCCTTGTCATAATCTGTTTCGACTCTCCAGCATTTTAAAAGTCTTCGGCCGTCGCCGCACATCGTCTCCATTATCGATAAATTATCAGCCTGGTCCCGGACCGCTGTGGGCACTGGCGGCACTTCCGGCCTTGTGCTTCAACTGAGCCCTCGATGCATGTCGTACTGCGACATGGGCTGCTCGGAATAGAGGAAGGAACAAAAAAAACAAAGAGTCAAAACACGAAGAAGGGGGGGGGGGGGAAACTCTCCGGAGCGGAAGCAAAATCAAGCATCCAGGGAGGATACCTTCTCGGCTTCGGAGCATCTGACTTCTTTGCGTTTCTGTTCCCGCACCGCATCGCATCGTACCCGCCCGACCAGACTCTGCCTCTTCATCGCCGTCGGGATTTTGACTCAGTCCCTCATCCTCGCGAGCATGATTGAGACCAACACCTGCAGTTCACCACCCCAATGCAGACTCGCAAAGTCGGCTATCCCCTGAGTTATATTAACCCAATTTAATCAAGCAACTCGAGCCATGGCAGACGGTCTGCTGGCCACCCGGGGTTTTCTGCAGCTTCTTCTTCAACAACGTCGCAACGAACCACGTCTGGAGTCCTCGACAACCCGCCCGCTGCTTAACGGACAAGCCAGGGACTGGCCTGACCTACCTGGGCTTGCCAAATCCCTACCCTTGTCTCCGTCCGACCTCCACCATGTCCGGTCCATGGCGGAGGGGTGTGCCTTGGCAGCCCTGGCCTAGTCGCCAGAATCCGAGTGGAACAGGAACCCACTGATACCCATTGAAACTGCTTTCACTACCTACTGTGTAGGAGCCACCGCCTTTCCCGTACGGTACTGTAGCACGCTGCCACGCACGACGGGCAAGATATCCACAGCTCACCGTTCGGCCTGCACCACCTTCGATTCGCTGGCCAGTGGCGACAACTGCCATGACATGCCACGTGCTAAAAGACTACAATACAGGCTCGGTGCCCAACATGGCTGCCCACATCTATCCCGTCACGACAGTGTGCCTACCGCGGGCCAGCCGTTAATGTGAAAAGCCAACCCACGATCGATGGGTATTTACCGCTGTGAGCGAAGAACCACGGAGAGCACGGAACGCGTGGAGGAAGAACACCCAGAGTCTGGCAAGGGTTATCCCCCGGTATAAACTGGAAATTGAATCCTGTGGCTCTGGAAAAGCTTCCCAACGTCTGGAGTTCAGACGACTTAGGGACTAGGCCACCGAAATAAGGTCCCGGTCGCATTGACAGTAGGCATTGGATCTTCGCTGTGGCATCCGTCCAGTGTCGCGGGATACTTGCTGAGACACACCTCGGCTCAAACATGACACAACCGCGAGTCGCCCTCGAAAGCGGGTCAGTCTCAAAAAGAGCCAGGACGCCGTTCCTCGAAATTCCCCAATGGTCAGAAGTTCAAAGTTCGATCTCCTGTTGATATGGAAGCGCCAATCTGTCGGGAGTTACAGCGCGCACGAGTAGGGGCTACAACGCTGGAAGCCGCATCCATCGTCATAACCGACCTCCTGGAGCGTCTGTAACATGGATAAAACTGGACCGACTCCGCTGGCGCTAGTTTCTACATGACATCCACTAAACTGTGCGACTGAGCAGAGCTGCGGATACAGGTTGATTTCCAGGAACAGCTCTGGACCTTCAGTCGAAAGAGAACGAAGGGGACGCAGATGATCAAACACACGTCACGGGAACTTGGATCGTCGCTCGCAAGTCCGAAGCATCTCAAGGTAGAGCGGTACCATTCAGTACCTTAACACACCGAGCTCAATATATGTTGGTGTTTCTACACCACTACTAACGGGCTGTTCGTACGGATAGTTGTCTGTAGTGAGCTTGCCGGCCCGTGTAATCAATACCTTTGTGCTTCCGGATTCCGGCTGGTGCCGCCTCAAAGGTACGGATAGTTTCCCGGCCATCGACTTCGAGCTATAAGCGACCGACCTCGATGATCCAGGCGCGGCTTGGCATGACCAGGGCTTCCGACTGGACCATCAGACGAAGAAGGGGACCTTAAACCCAGGGAGGCATACGGACCGGGGTCAGGATGGAATAGACCACCTGCGGCGTGTGCGGCAGCCGACCGACCAGGGCCAACCTAGCGCCTGCGTTGACAATGGGACGCAGATGCCAGCCGAGAGCCCTACAGATCGGCATTCCTACCTTGCCCCAAGTGAAGCTCGGTGAGCACCAAGGCCGGATCCAGACGTCCAAATTCCCTGTGCTAGGACATCTCGTCTATGGATGAGAAGGAAGAGGAGAACGAGGCTCGTCTATATTCTAGCATCCCAAAGAACCACGGTGGTGAGAGTAAATATCCCGAATCATTTACGGGCACCTTCTGGGTGAGCAAATGACTCCATATCGACTTGACACACCTTTCAGTGTGGCTCAGTCGTCCACTAACAAGATGCAACCTAATAGTGAGTGACCTCACCGGCTCCATATTGGCCTGGCTGCCGGTGTTCTGCGTGTGCGTAGAAGCAGGCAAAAAAGCCGAGCCGCATGGATTCCTGGCCGACCTTCGTTCCTCGAATGAAGCCAATCTTGTTCAACTGCATGGACTTCGTCTCACCGAAGAACGGGTTTCTAATTGTTCAGTACAGATACACTTTGCCGATACTGAGGGCTCGTGTATTACGAATATATACCAAGACAAGGTTATGACGATGGCGACAACCACAATGGCAATGAGAGAAGCAATTAGACACCTTCAGATGAACGACCGGGAAAAGGGGAGATAGATGCACACTATGCGAACCCGAACAAGCCATCCTGCGTGGCATGGAAGACATAGACCGATCCCTCACACAGCCGGAACGATGTCCACAAGGTTTCCCAGAGTTGGACCAGGGACGGCAGTTAAGTTGATCATACCGTCACTGACCGAGCCCTACAGTATGCAATGCGCCGGTGTAGAGTAACGATGGCAGGAAGACTTGCTAGCGGCACGAATCAAGGTTCTTCTCGGCCTACGGTCTCAGAGAGGTATGCCGCAATCAAAGCCAGCAAGCTGTGAATTATCAAGTGTTGCCTACCCCGTACGAACCTCAACGGTCATTCTTTCTAGCACCCATGTGCCAGGGTCCCTATTCGGGATGGAACTTGAACATCAACACGTCCGAAACAGGCCGAGGGTTGGGCCTTGCGCGAGAACCAGGCTCGCATCTCGTTGGTGGAATTTTTTCGCGACAACCCCCCGGTAGGCCAAAATTCGAAGGACACTAACAACAGCTGCTCAGCGAAAGTATCGACGGGGCAATCGTGTCGCACGTCGTCTCTGAGAAGGCTACTGATCTGACGGCTCGCTGGGCTCACAGATGCCTGACTTCATCGATTCCTGGGCACCCACGCAGATGGTTGGAAAAGATACGTCGTACGGGGCCCATTGATCCAATGATTGCCAAGAGGATTGGGCGAACGGGAGGACATGAGGAAGCATGACGCGAACAACCTGCATACGACCGATGCATGGACGCTTCGTCTCGCCCCCAAGTGGTGTTGAGGTTTTTCTGCATGAGTAGTGGAAATCGGTACTCAGCTCCCACACCCTTGCAAGCAACTCCCCAACTCGCTTCAGAGTTGTTGTGCTGGAATTTTGCAGCTCGGGTGCTATGCGGACAAGAAACCTTAGACGGACAGTCCCCATCGCAATGCTTCCGCGATGCCGGCACTTTCGACTGCCTAGTCTTTGGCATCTGGCCGTTGAGCACGGATCCGGCAACCTCGACCATCGGCTATCAAGCCCTCGAGAGACTGAGCGGCCAGGTCACAGGCCAAAACTTGGATTGCCATGTGGAGAGGCGAAGTCATCTGGTCTCCGCGCATAGCCGAAAGCTGCACCGAGGCAGGCAGGAGTGGCAGGACATTCACGACTAGCAAACAAGGCCAGACCGCCTTCTGGAGTCGATTCCCATTGCTCTCTGTCGGCGGCTGCCAATCAGCGAGGCGGCCTTGAGGCGAAGGGCGAGCCGCGTCGGGCAAGTGGGCAGGTTCCAGAACATGGCAGGCCGCAAGACAGGGCGCAAGGCAAAGAAAAGGCACGAGAAGATTCGTGGCAAGGCCACCTGAACTTCGCAGGTTGCCCTGGCCCTGCGAGAGAGGGGAGATGGGGACGAGATGTATGAGGGACGACAGCCACATCCACTTAGACCGACATGAGCATTTGCGGGCAATTTACCATTCCTTTTTAGAGGGGGGTTGCCGGGCCCAGAAGAAATCGAAGAACTAACACGTCGATTCCCTGGTTAGCGGCACCGGCTTGACGTTGACAGTAACACACACACACACACACACACACACACACACACACACACCCATACTCAGACATAGCTGGGGCCGTTCACGCTACGAATGAACCGACGCTACCTTATGTGCGGTACGGTCAGCTCGCCCGCTCTCGTTGAACATGACTCCGGGAGCAATACCTTGGGCTACCGCGAGTGCCAATGATGCAGGATAGCGCGAACGCGGCGGCGGCAGTAGAGCAGCTCTGACGATGCACTGTTTCCTGATGGTGTGGTCTCGACATTGGCCGGCCCTTTTGCTACGGCTTTAGCACCGCCTCTGAGCTTTGCCTTTCCCATGCAAAAAAAAAATTGCCAAACCGAATTGGGCTCATCCCGCATAGCGTGGGGCGCTGCACGATTCCTGGGTGAAAACAACCAAGTTCAATGGCGAGTGGCATTGGCACCAGGCCAGGGCCACGGTATCGACTTGGCCACGCTACTATGGACTGGAGATTGGAATTGCATATCCGACATCTAGCATCACGTTGCTAGTATTGAGTGGTATCGGAGCCACATAGGGATACCGCGAACTCCCCCTTCTCTCTGCGTGCTTCATTGCCATCTTGACAAAGGCATACCGAAGTGACATTTTTCATGGTCTGCTGTGTACCTCTGTAATCACGATGCATGTCGGACGAGATGCAGACGATGGATCTATTAGGCAGGTCTTCTCTGCGGATGTGATGCAAGAGGTAGGTGACCAAAAAGCGACGCCGATGAAGTTCACGACTCGATTGATCCGTGGCCCATGTACCAATCTGGCGACTTACTCACAATACTTACTGCGTACGGAGTATCAAACACGTCTTTCTCACGTGGCGAGCCAAGACTAACGAAGACCATCACCCGTCCAGCGACTGCGAGGCAACATGGAGTGTTCGATGCCGAGTTGATGGCCACGGTTTACGATTATTGGGTTGGGCAGCGGGGGGATCATCACGTCGAGTTGTTCTTTCGGAGGCTTCCATCTCGGGCGACCTGCCTTAGTGAACTCCAAGCCCCCAGCCCCGGTGCCGTACTAAGGCAGGGTAGGGTGCCAGACTGTTGACTTTTGAGGAGTAGGGGAGGCGGTGGCGGCGAGGGTGTCTTTGGCGAGAACCGGGTGGGCAGCGCACATACCAGGACAGGCCTGGTAGTTCACCGTTGCGACCTTGGCCCAGTTGATATATCGCACCTGGCACCCATCAGAATGATTTTCTTTCCGAAGCGAAGAGCGCACACGACTATGTGGATGAATGGACGAGCAGAGGGCCAGCAACAGACTTGAAAGGCATGACCTTGTTCGGACCGGTAACGCATGCAAAACGGCTAGTGCCCGTGTTGGCAGCGTACGGGTACCTCGACCTCGTCAAACCTAGGGGGAACAACCGGCAGAAGAAGCAGGTTGTTGTGGGTATTATACCAGTACAGCGGCTCCCAAATCAATCAGTCGTATTGGAGGACAGGACAGGGCCGCTGGGTAGGTATGCAATACGGCACGGTGGGAGCAACAGCCTCAAGCTCCGAGAGAGACAAGACGGGCACCAGTTACCACCGACAAATGGTTGGTTTCCATCGGCTTACCGCCTCTCTTGCAGACTGAGTTCATGGTCCCGGTGCTGCTTGCTGCTGGTGGGTTTCGGCGACGTCAACGGCGGATAAGCAGGGGAGAATGAGAGAGAGTATGTGTTCAAACTTCATGCTTGGTGGACGGTCGACCGAGTTGATCAGTCTACCTACGGATGCGGATCCAGGATCTCTGTCTGTCAGATGTCTGTACGGGATGGAGCCATGCCGCAGTCTGAGTTTGATTCTGTTTCTGGCCCATTGGTCCTGTTCGACTGTTCCTGGGCCTGATGTGTCTGCGTACCTGCTCACTGACATCCCTGCCACCAAGTTCGGACGGAAACTGGAGATGACCTGATGCGACCCGCACTCAATAACCATGCCGACAAAGTAGTCGAAACTTCTCTGGAAATACTTCAGTCGCCCCTGGAGCAAGTCATGTCTACATTGTGCCTCCCTGTCCCTGCAGGGCAGCATCCAGCAGGTGACGTCTGGTCTTCTCCGCTGCACAGCAATTTTGCTTCGGTTTGAGCTTCGTCACCCCCAGCCGGTGAGTGACCACTTCTCCCTCCTCCGCAGGCTCTGGTGTGGATGATGGAGATTAATGTAGTGAACAGGAAGATTTCACGAATAGACACGCATGAGTCTTAAGATGCAATGCTGGGAACAATTCCGCGTTTGCCAACCTAATGCAACTCGAGAGACAACAATCATTGCTGAGAACACAGATTCTCGGAAGTCCTTTTCGATCTTGACCACACCTGGCACCTTTCTCTTACCATCGAACTGGAAGCATATCGACGGTGCAAATACCTGGTGCATCTGCCCTCTAACAAGAATGAGACGAACAGTTGGCTCAAGGCTGTCTAGCTTGTTGCTCAGTACGAATGGGTAACTTATGTAATTTAGACGTGGATTCCGCGGTCAACCCTCAACCGTCACCAAATGGCCCAGCTTTCTTTTTCGATGGATCGTGGCCGGATCTATCCAACCATGCCGCCCGATCCTGGTTGTCTGCAGACTGTTGTCCACAAGTCATTTCCTTCTCGCCTGCGCACGACCCTGCTTCTGGCCACGGCCACGGTCATGACCACAACCACAGCCACACAAGTTCTCTCTCTCGCGCGCGCGCGCACTACTCACGGCCGCACGTCAATCGGCGAGCTAAGAACTAGGAGCTAGGAGCTAGGAGCCCAAGCCCAAGGTGGATGGTTGGTGGAGAGTAACGGTGACAGCTGGCTCTTCAAGGTTACTCACTCACAGCCGTCCGTCTACGAGCACACCTGGTCCATGCCAACAACGTCTTGCCCACCCTTCCACTAGCAGCGTTGACCCTCGACTTCCAAGACCCTTCAACCCGGCTTGCCTATAAGCTAGGTCGCTAGGTATCACGGAGTGGCTTCTAGCTCCATCTCCTTCTCATTCTCCAGTTGCATCCCCATCTCAGCCTTCTGCCCCCGTCAAAGTCAGCTCGCCCTGCCCGGCCGGCCTGGCCGTCAGCCACAGAATGGGTACCCTGGGGCAGGTAGAGTTTCATTTGGAGAACGGCCGCGCTGAAGAAGGGCCACCCATGGAAGGCGGCTGAAAGAGAGAATTGGACGTGGCGATTACTTCACTCGAGCCTCGAGATTCCTAGACAACGTCCCTACGAAATCGTTGCTGATGCCTTTGCTTTTCTGGCCGGCTGAGCAACACGAATGCAACGGGATCTGTATCCGTAAGAATACCGAGTTGGATATTGTGGCGAACCTACGAAGCCATGGGTTACGGCAAAATTGCACGAGCACCGATCAAATATCCGCCGGAGACTGACGACACTGCATCTACGCCACAGTGCACCGTGTATTCATGGGCTTTGCTGTGTGGAGAGTCCGAAATGAGGCGAGGCACAGATCCTACACTGATGCCGACCTAGCTGAGCTTGTGTGCAGTGACAACTTAGTATCTCGCCAGGACATCAGAGTTCGTCCAGATCGAGGACAGGCCTCGGCCTAGCTAACGTAGGTATTGATGTGCTCGTTGAGCTACCCGTGCTTTAGTTAGGTATCGACACCCGCATCCGCATTCGCACCCACAGTCTAGGTGCGTAGTACATGACTACATACATCCGTCTCCGTTTCGCTGGCGCAGCGCTAGGGCGCAACGTGCCGTGTGTCTTTAGAGAGGTGCCACCTAGTGGCCGCTAAGACTGTAAGACATCCTCCCTGCCCAGTCCACGGATACCTTAATCATGTCTCTCATCGTATCGACACTTCAGAGGACCATCCGAGACAGACGCGCAGGAGGACGGACGTGCCTCGAGCCGCTCAAGGATGATGACAGGTCAGGGCTCGGACGCGGACGGATAATACATCGGACGGCACAGCACAGGACAGGGCATGGCAGAACCATACTACGTACAGGACCACAGGACCACAGGGCCACAGGAACGACTCACAAAGGAAATGGGACCAGGACAAGCCAAGCTCGGAGAGAACGAACGTGGATGGATGGATGGATGGGGGACCAGAAGGCGCCCTGTCACCTTTTCTCCTTCCGCTGCCACGCTGCCATAGCCGCATCCCATCCCTCAAGCATCAGCATGTTCGGTATCCTTGCCTTCCTTCACTTACCTACCAATATTCGTACACTATTACTTGGTACTCCGTTCGGATACCACAGTGAGTTGCCTTCTTACCCGTCGTCCGACATACCTTGCCCTGCAGCGGTCTCCGAGGGCGGCACCTCACGTACGGATACCGTGGTCCTTGCCCCATGCCAATGGTAAGGTACTCAAGGGTAGTAGCATTGTAGTGTAGCTGACGAGGATGGGATGGCAGGTTCCCTTACCTCGCCATTCAAGGCGTGGTTACGGATACGGATACTTCCTCTCTTTCCAGTCAACTCCAGTCTCCTCCCCTAGCGGCCTCGCAAGTTGCAACATCTGATGAGCACCAGAACTCTTACGTATATCCCCTATCATGGTTTGTTGTGCCACGGCTATCTCGTCGTGCGTGGCTACGCGTACGTCTTTTCCCATTCAATACCACCATCTCAGACCCGTCATCTCATCTCTCTGTTGCGCTCGCAGGTCGATCCCTCCGCTCGCCTCTCCACATATCCCATAACCTTCTTTCGACCCCGTCTACATTGCTGCATTCACACCCTCCCACCCCTAGTTCGTTCCTCGTTGTGTCTTTTCCTCTTCTTCCCCCCATATCCCTCACCCAGTTCCACGCACCCACGTCCGCTCATCTGTCTCCCCTCCCCCCTACTTACGTGCCTACCTACCTACCGCTACCTTACCCCCTGGACCCTGGGCTACCGACACCACCACCATCACCACCGGCATCATAACCACGAGCATCAGCAGCCACCGCCGCAAACCTATGTGCAGCGATTACAACGGTGGCTCGAGCGTTGCCATGCGTTCCGTCAGTACGTACTCCGATATACCTGGCTCGAACGGTCTCGTCTCGTCCTGGCTTACCTACATCTCCGAATGAGAGCCACAGCATACCACGGCCACATGGGTTGTCAACATGTTGTCCATGTTCTTTGTCCTGGCGTGCGTGCCTGGGTAAGCTACACTTCTTCCATCTGCAAGGTACTCGAGAGATCAAAGTCAATTAGCACAGGAAGATCGATCATCCTTTTCAACGTCTGCATTACCTATCTTACTGTGTATTCTATCCGTACGCATACTTACTCTCCTGGCTCATTGCTTGCTTCTTTTCTTTCGCAGATTCAATGTTCTCTTTTCCCCACTCTCTGCCGCTTCCACACCCCTCCAAGCTCGCTCTCTTCAATACCATCGATATCAAGTCAATCTTACAGTTCCTCCACTCTCTCCCGCTGCCTGTCTTCATCCTGGCTTGGTCTCTGCCCTTTCTAGTGTATCCGTACATATACCTTGACTTGGAGAGTTACCCCCCGGGTGTTGGTCTGTCTCCTCCCCCCCCCCCCCTCCATCTACGGAGTTTGTACATACATCCTCGCCTAGGTATCCGTACCCTCCACCCATCCATCCCATCTTATCCTTGTACGAAATTCGTCCCATCCCATCCATCCCCCATCCGCATCCACCAGTCAGTCTTCTTTTCCTCCTTCCTGGCTCCCGGCTACATTGTAATACCCATCCTGCCATCTGCCATCTGCTACCGGCCCCGACATTCGAGACAACGTCCACCCCTCCCTGTCCACTCTCACCTGAACCATCCCTCCTTCGCATCCCCAATCAAATTTGGTACTTTGCACGCTGCATACTGGCCCTCACTGCTAAAGTTGCAAAAGTGAATACTGCGGTCGGGAAGAGACACAGTGAGGGAGAGCCTGCAGACGCAATGAAGCCCTTTTGATTTCCACCGTAAATTATTATTGCATCTTATTTCTCCGGTCCCTCTCTGTCTTTCGCTCTCTGCGGATAGTCTCGTTAGCTTTCTCTGGCCTTGGCCACGCCCGCGGCCCCGTCCCGTGTCCGCGTCTCTTCCTTCACTCACCTTTCACTGGACTGTGACCCAACTGACTCTTGTCTCCCCCACTGTCTTATTACGTTGTGGCTTCATACGTGCCTGGTTTAATCTCATGCGGGAACCCTCAGACCCAGCGCTACTATCGCCATCGCTACCGTCAACCAATATTATCATCTCCTCCCTGGCCACCGTACTGACTGCTTCAAGTTACTGGTTCTCTGTTTTTGCTGCCCACGGCTGGCAATGCTGCCAGTCTATGATTTTTCTTCCCTCTCTATCTATCTCTCTCTTTCACACACACATACTCACTCCCTCAGACTCTCTCACTCTGTCCTTTTTCTCCTACACGCCCCCCCGCCCCTCACGTTCTCTCACACTCAAGACGCATACGTCGCAGAAAGCATCGTACCTTACCTCATCCCAACCTGCACACACTCACGCACACCTCTCACACACAGACGCGCGGAGAATTGTCGTTGAACAGGGGATCGTGATGGCATAGCCCTCTACCCTTGATTAGCAGCCACTCTAAAGACGTCGACCAGGGTGTTCCCTGGCCTACCTTTCCCTCGACCAGATCAACCCTGAACCACACCCTAGCTTCATCTCAATTGCCCCCTCCCCTCGTAGGTCTAGCAAGCCTGCCTCCAGTCACACAAAAACCGACCGGGAGCCACCGATCGACTGCTCCCAAAAAAAAAAAAAGCCTATGGGTCCTTCTCTCCAACGTATCCAGCCCTCGAGAAATAACGCTGCTTTATTCCGGCCGCCGAGAGGAGAGAGAATCGGAGAGACAAAAAGAGGCTAGGGGTAGACTAGATCTACATCGTCTTCCTCCCTTTTCTCTACTTCCGCCCTTCTCTTTTTCTCTTATTCCATCACTTATACATCCGTACCCAAAGACAGGTCGCCGGTACGCAGGTATCCAGCCATCCATCTCCGCATCCCGTGCCTGAGGTTCTGTCGTGGTACCTCCTGCAACTACCCGCATCAGCATCGCGCTCGACGACCCGCCAGCAACGCCGCAAGGAGCTTCATTGGAGCTTGGAGGATCATTGTGCGGGCTTCCTGCTACAGCAGCCTCATCGTCTTACAGCATCGGGCGCTGCATATTCTCATTCCTGGCCTGCTTTCCTAGCACAGCTGAATCGGTCTTCTCTTGCGACTCTCACACCTAGCACGAACGCCCGGTTGAGTGACTAAAGACCGCTCGCGAGCTTGCACTGTCTTTGAAATACCCGCTGGTTCAGACTTTTGCTATTCGCCATATCGAGTATTTCTGCAGAAACCACGAAAGAGCTTTCTTCTCCCCATCGGAACCGGTGTTTCGAGACTGAGTGGACAAGAGGAGGAATTCAACTGATTTGATCAAGAGGAAAAGGCATCATTCGAAAGGAGCCACAGAGTACAACATCCCTTGAAAAAAAAAAGGGTGATTTAATTTGGGTCCGGCGCACGCAAAAGAGCGACACGGATATCGCCAACAGCATACAACGCACCGGCAGCGTCTACGCAATAGTTCCGGCCTTTCGCAACATTCTGGGAAACGGGGCGTCGTCTAAAAGAAGGCGTGGGAAGCTCTCGACCCGGGTGCCTGTTGAAGCTGCATCACAACATCCATGCAAGCCATAAGTAGCGATTGCGATACGTCGTCTACCTCGTTCGGCCAGCGCCGAGGCATTTCCGATCTGGCGCGATTCGCCCTCGACCTGACCTGGGCAACGCCAACAAGAGCAGAGTCCGAGACTCCTGCTCGACCCAGAGCATATCCTTCCCCGCCCATGTCAGGGTCTCCTCCTCTCCCGCCCAAGCCAAATCCAGAGGCTGGTGACCGAGGGCAACTGCATGGCAGCTATCCGTCCACCAGTCCGCAAAATGCCTACCGGGGAGGACTGCCGCCAACGACGATACCGCAAGGCGACTACCGAGGACCTCCGCCTCCGCCGCATTCCTTGCCGCCACCTCAGCCTCGATCATATCACGCCGATCCGCAAGACAGGATGCCTTACTCATACCCTCGACCCGACGACCACCTGCGGACTACGCCTTCAGGATACGCACATCTGGCAAGCCAAGTCATGCAGCAGCGGCCTCCTCCGCCCTACATGCAAATGTCTGGGCCACCGCCGCCACAGCCAACAGGACCTCATCAGCATGGCTACGCGACAACCATGTCGCAGACATCCCAGGACAGCGGTCCCTATACGTCTCCCAAGACGCAAAGAAAGACAAAGGGCCATGTGGCATCAGCCTGTGTGCCATGTAAACGAGCCCATCTTCGGTAGGTTACCAATCTCCCCGCAGATATCCCAAGTGAAACGGGCGGAAGTGGTATCTCGATACGGTGACGCTGACATTTAGTCTAGATGCGACGGTACGTACGAACTGGCTTGCTAGCTAGCCTATTTTTGATTTTTGGTTTTTTTCTCTCTCCTTTTGCGTTTGCTTTCTTTAGGTTGTCATTTTTGCATTGTCCTTTCCGACTAGGGGATCGACCAAAAGAGGAAACTCCCGCGGACTGCAAGGAACCAGCACTGCAGCCTCCGGGCGCATGCGGCTCCAAATCTTTGGGGGGAACAATACTTGACATCATGACCGGTCAAGAGGCTCCGAGAGTGAATTTGGACGCGGCATTAACCTAGCAAGGCGTACGTGCGTGCGACACTCGAAGCAGCGCAGGGATCAACCCCTGGACCTGAGACCGGTGCTGAGGGGAAGACGATCCCGCCTGGGAGGATCATTCGCAGAAACTCGGACGGAGAGTTGAGATGGTTGCGTTGAATGGGATGGCGCATGCCGTCAAAGGCTGTCAACCAAGTCTTACTTGGGTTGAGCGGGTGTCCGTGTGGCCCAACTGGACTGGCGTCAACCCCAGCAGAGAGAGCATTGGTCTTTCTTGGCCGGACTTCCGCGCCGGCCATCTCAGCTCCTCCAGCGTCTCTCATTCTCACAACCATACAATCGGCGAACCACTACCGGTTCTTGCGCCGTCTGGTTCCTGGACCCGTTCGCCCCGGAGTGTCGGCCCGGCATTTTGGGAAGATTGGCGGGTAACAGCCGGCACCCCCGGGAGCGACCCTCGAATCTTGATTACGGTTAGGGATGCGGTGAACTCGCCAATCGCGTGCCGTTGGACCGGGTGTGGTTGCTATCGATTGTGCCATTTCTGAAACAGAAAGCGGAGGCGATTTTCCCTTGCGCCAGAGCTTTTTTCTGGGTGGACTTGGCTGGTCGATCGCTGCTCCGTCTGGTCTGGTCGCGGGATGATCCAAGTGGACAGAACTAGCGTGTCATTGACGTGTCGGATGCGACGCATGGCAGCTGGTGAGCGGATGGGGTGGGAAAAGCAACCAAACGTCTAAGCCACGCGACTGACGAGCAAGTGCCCGTTGGAAGACGTCATGTAAGCTTTTTTGCTTGACTTGTGGTGGATGGTTGTGGAGGTGCGGCTTTTGCACTTGCAACAGCTTTGGATCGTGCGCTTGCGTGTTTTCTTTTTGCTCTTTAGCGTGTGGAGAGAGAACACCACAACCGGATGACAGTTTCGCTGACGTGCGCTTGCGACAAATAGCTCAGCGGCCCTGTTCGAGATGCACAAGCAACGGCAAGGAAGACGCCTGCGTTGATGTGCAACACAAGAAGCGTGGCCGCCCGCGGCTGAGAGACGACCGAGAAGCCCGCTATGGCCCCTCGACATATCAGCATCCTCAGGATGCCGCAGCCGCCGCCGCGGCAGCAAGGAGACCGCCGCTGAGCCACTACTCAGCTGGCACTCCCATCTCAGGGTACGATGACCCCATCCGAGGCAGTCACTCCTATCGCGTTCTAAAGTCTCAACCAAGCGAACCCATTGCGCCTCGGTATCTGGACAGAGCTCCTATGGGCGACGCGAACCTGTACGGCCAGCCCCCGTCTCTCGCGTCTGGGGCGCTCGAGCCAGTCATCTTCTTGACGACAGAGCTGGAGATTGCGCGTGCTTCGCCGGCTTTTTCTGATGCCGTCGGAATTCCCAACGTCAGAGGCCGCTCTCTCTTCGACATTGTGGCGCCCACTGAGCGCGAGAAGCTTCAGAGCCACCAACGGCAGATACAAGAGGAGCGAACAAGAAAGGACCCCGTCTACCTACCTCCCATCTTCGGCAGGCAGGAGCAAGAGCGCGTTTTCGACTCTTTGCGATTCGAGGCCGATGAGATTTCGCGGTTCCAGCTCGATCGTCAAGACTTCTTCGTTTTCGCGGCGAGTGATGGACAGCCGAGGTCGTATTCCGTGCGTCTGGGTTTGGCCAAACGTGAATCGATTTACTTCATCGTCCTCCTCATCAATGCCGCACCGCGGTATCCGTACCCCTCGCCATCTCCGCATGCACGCGAGGTGCCGTATCCTTATCCGCCTCAACAGCAGGCATACGCGCAGCACACTCCCGTCTCCGCCACGTTCGAGCAGCCGAGACTTCGATTCGGAGAAGGCGCACTCGCGCCGCGCCCATCCCCTGGCCAACCTCTGCACATGGCTTCTGGTCTAAGCCCCGGTGTCAGTCCTGGCATGCCGTCATATGCGGCCTCACCCAGCCGTCCTGAGTACGCCAGCGGACCCTCGTCATACCAGATCCCTCGCAGTGAGCTGCCGCCGACCACTCGGCCGCCACAGCCATCTTTCCAGTTGCCTCCGATCCGAGCTGGCCCCCATCAACCTCCCCAACCAGAATCATCTTCCTGGCAAAGGGACGAACGATCCGGACGGGTCGATATTGGTGGCCTTCTCGAGAAGCCGGACCCGCAGCAACGACGTCCGCAATGAGTAATGACTTCCTGCCGCCCTAGCGGTTGTGGTCGATAATAATTCCCTTCGCCCGGCTCGGTGTACGTCTCCTGCCCAGTAACGATAGAGGCTGCATTCGAGACCGAATCCCTGGTCCGTTGACATTTTTGACCGTGTGTTGAGGTGGGCGGTCTCCGCGTCGTCCGCCTGTTGTATTTGTATCGAGTTCCCTTCGTTTCCATGTCCGCCTTCGGGTCCATCGTTGTTGTTTTTCCGGCGGCCGCGAGCCATCACGAGATACCACTTGTATAACCACCAACTTTTTTCTTGCTTTCTGCTCCACCCCCTGCACATACTGTTTTCCTCCTGCTTCCAATTGGGGCATTTTGGCATCCGTTTGGGCGTTTTTCTCTTTGGCTTCGATTCCCTGGGCTGGGCAGGTTGCGTATGTTGTTGCATCCAATCCAATGTTGAATGATGTTGGAGAGTGTAGGAATATGGCCCGTCGTCTCCAAAGAGATTGGCGGCGGAATGAGAAGAGCCATGGGGCGGTCATATGCGTGTCTTTGTTGCTGTCTGGGTCCCCAGATACCGTTTTCTTGTTATATCCCTTAAAGAAAAGAAGGCCCACCCGGCGATTCCTTGCCAACTACCGCGTTGCTCCGTTCACGTTGCCTTGCTGCTGAAGTGCCCCAGCGTTGTTTTTGTCGTCGTCGTCTAATTCGGACTCTTGTGATGGTGGGTTATATCCGACGTGGTGACGATGGCGTCTAGGATGATGAGTAGTACCAAATCCAGAGTTTCGAAAAGTCCGAGGTCGACAACAGGCTGAATCCAACGATACTTCGACGAACAACTCAAGACGTGGCAAGACGACTCTTTGTTTGCTTCTATTACTTGAAGAGGAATATGGGCAACCGAGCGGGGGAAGGGCGAGGCCGCAGACTTTTGACAGGAGAGTTGCCCCATTACTCAGGTCCGGGAATTGCGGAGACCATCGGGAAGGGGTCAGTGCGGGAGAGCATCTGCCGCAATTTCGGCAGGTCGACCCGTGGACCTGTTTATCGTAGCCATGGCCATGGAGCGTTGATGGAGGGGTGTTCCATGCTTCATGTTGCGGGAGTGCGGTGGAGGCGTAGCGTGCACCGGTAAGGTGACATAGGAACGAGATGCTCGGGAGAGCGAAACATTGCGAGATCCCGGCTGAAGGTGAAAAGAGGAAAGAGGAGTAGGAAGGGAAAGGGGGGTGGACAAGAAAGAAAGAGAGAGGCGGTTGTTGTAAAAGAGAGAACTGGAGAAAATAGAGGCCAGAGCAAAGAACGAGGTTCGGCTGCCACTGCAACAACAGGCCCGTAGATAATTTAAACCACCTTGGTTCATAAGACTGCAATGGAAAAGGATTGGTCACTCACTTGAGCCCCCCATCCAACGTTTCGTTTCCCCCTTTGGCTACCCCTGCCTTGCCCTCCCTTCTCTGCAGTCCACTGCGGCGCAAGTCAAATCTGCGACTTTTGCAAAAGCTCGTCTGTGCCCATTCAGGCGCCCACGACCGGCGGATGCGGATGCGTATGCGGATGCGTGCTTCCTAATGAACCCATCTGCGTGCGTTGCGTTGCGTTGCTTTCTTGCGTCTCTTGTGTCCAATGCAAGTGGTGCAGGCGGAAGTGTGTGTCATTTCGCGTGGCTCCTAGTTGCATCCGCATTGGAAGGTATAGTCCGGCCCTGGTATTGGATTGGTGCTGCCGCCCGCTTGAAGCATTGGTTGAGGATGAATGATAATCGCTCGGTCTGGTTTTGGGTCCCATTTTCCCCTCTCTTGCCGATGAACCATTGCATATAATCCATGATCTTAGGTGATGAGAAGCGAGAGTGTGCGATATGAGATGGGGCCAAGGATGAAAGAGAGTGGGAGACTGGGAGGGAGAAAGAGAAGGATGGTGGAGGGGGGAGGGATTATCGGGAGTTTTCCTCAGGAGGTCCATGGTTCTTGTTTGGACGTTCGGGATGGATTGGTGTTGCCATTGGCTCGAGTCATAGTCTCTGACATCTCTGTGTCTCTCCTTGTGCTGCATGTCCTTTTTCTTTCTTGGGCGTTGGTTCGAGGTTTGTGTTTGGTTTCGTGCTTCTGTGGCAGCGTTGGCCTACTCGATCTAGAGTGCGAGCTGCCTTTATGCCGTCAGATGATGGACATGTATGTCCGTTTCTTCATCGCCAACGTTCCCGCAGATCTTTTCTTTGGCCGTGTGCCGTAATGTGGGCAGCGTCCCCCAACAAAGTAAGAGAGTAACAGACTGAGCGGGACTCGAGAGATGAGGTGAGAGAAAAAGGATGCGATGCTCAGGGGGATCTTGAGTTGACCGTCGTCTTCTGTCCGGCCCCCCCCCCCGGGGGACCTCTCTCTTTTTGTCTTTCTTCCTGCGTAGTCAAAAGTCGTTCGTGCGTCCCTTTATCTTACCCCAGAGGCCCAACCGAAAGGAGGGACAGGGAAACGAGCGAGGAAACGAAACGAAACAAAACAGGCCTGCAGTGGATCCAACCACCGAGGCACCAGCCAGGGGAATGGGATGAAGAGGTGCAGGGGGATGCACTGGAGGTTGCTCGTTACGGTTGAGAAAAATCTCCGAGACGGAGCCGGGCAGATTGTTGGTGGCCCAAAAGAGTTTTTCATTCGGTCATTGTGCATCTTTGGGTGGGTATACCTGTCCAATATTGAAAACCACGGACAGCACCCTTGACCATTCAGCTGATCAGCGGGATCCAAGGAGATTGAGGGATGCGAGAAGCTTTTGAATTGGTGTGCTTTGCTGGCGAAAAGAAACGAGGCAGTATTCCTAATGGTTGAGAATTGAGACCTTCGGGTTACCGGCGGGAGAGGACACCACCACATGTTCGCATTCGTCCAAGCGACGGAGACCACCACCCAAAGTTGAAACGCTGATGGACATATTGGGAAATGTAGTGGATGCGAACAGCTGAAAGCGGCAAGACGCAGCAGGGGTTTGTAATTGTCTATTTGCTATTCCGGGAAGGGAGAAGACGCCGTCAAGTGCAAACACGAGGCGTTGAATTGTGCCGCTCGAGTGACTCTTCGGAGTATGGAGAGAACGGCGAAAGGATGTGGACGAGGAGAAGAAGCAAATTCCGATGTGAAAAGGAAACCATCTTTAGAGCGTCGACCTGAAACAAAAGAGGCGCTGCCGAAGGATCTTCATGATTCTCACTGGATTCGGCCCTCTACGTTCTTGATGTTCCCAGCGCGCTAGACCGCGAAAGGGTCGCGAGGGTAGGGAAAGGTTCCTGAAATGGACTCTTGGGCACCCTGAGCAGTTGTCGTTTGCAGCGCAAACGGGAAAGGCGCATACGGTTAAGGTTGTTTCGAAACGGGCCTCGCATGGCAGCCAGGTCCTATGGGCGCACGTTTGCTTGGAGGAGTTGGGGGGAGGAAATGAGGGAGGGGCGCCGGATAGTGGCAGTGCCGGCCGCTAAACCACAACGTGGGAAAGCTAGTCGCACTATCAACACCGGTCGACAGCTGCCAGACGTCTTCGCAATGCTCGCTGTCGAGATCAAGAGATGAGGAGGGTTTCTCTCCACTGCCGTGTTGCTAGTGAGCCTCTGTAATCGGGGTTTGTTGCCGTCTGCTGAGGACGAAAAGCATTCCGTAAGATACTGTAGGACGACCGTCAAGTATCCGAACCACGCGAGGTGCTGGGGTCCTAGGTCTACCGAGAGGCCCTACGGATACTAGACTCTGATAAGAAGAGGGGCGATGCTGCGTTGCCGGTGGACGTTGGGCGGTAGGCCGTCCTGTTCCTGCATGGATGGCATCATGGGACAGGCTGATGCTTCAATGGTGGCGGCGACAAACGCCCGCTTCTCAACCGTTTTTTGGAGAGTTTGATTTGCGGCTGACTTGTCGTTCGACCGTGTTTTGGCGGCCGCTGTCATCCGCGTGGCCATGCTCGGAGCCATGCCCGTAGTGCGAACTGTCACTGCGAGTAGGAGGCTTGACTCGGTAGGCGAGTGTCTTGCGCCGCTTGCTGTCTGGCTCATGGGCTTGTAATTGAGTGTCAAGGGGCATGAGTGTACTCGTTGTCAAGTTGCGACTGGTGTTCATGGCCTCCTCCTTGGCCTCATCATGCTGCTGATCGAGCTCGCGTTGCAGCTTATCGGGCGAAGGTGGCGTGCTGTCGTCGAAAACCTCATCAATGTCCCGTTTCCTGCCGACCTGAAGTGACCCCGACGGTTGAGGAATTTGCATGTCCATCAAGCTCTCGGCGTGGGACAGAGGAGCAAGAGGACTTCGGGGGATACGCCGGCCGGGTGTCATGGTTGGGTCCGAAATGATAGGATCTGGTGAAGGTAGTCTGGAGCTCCATCCGCTGGACCCGCTGTCAGACGTGACACTACAACCATGCACGTAGTGGCAGCGGTGGGCCTGGTAAGGACCAGGGGGAGGGCCAACTTACCTCGCACTCGAGAGATGGGCGCGTGTCGAGGCCACGCCGTCACCTGTGGTGCTTTCTGCTGGCTCGTCTTTGCACATGGCAGGCGCCGCTGGGAGTGTACGGAGTACGTGGAGTTGGTTAGTGTTAGACTGACAATGGTCCAAAAAGAGGGGACAGCAATCTTTGCAAAGATGGCCTGGCGGCCGACGCTGGTGCGGGCAGTTCGGATGCTTGTCGTTATATTTTGGTCAGTTTCTGAAAAAGTGCACGGTTCTCAAACGACGACCATGTGCCGGCCGGTTGTAAATGGTGTAAATGTTGCCGGCTTGTGCGCGAGAAGCCCTGTTTGTCAACTTCATGCGAGAAGCCGTGGTTTGGGGTGCCTCGCCAAATTTCATGATGATGAGGCCAAACTTTCGGTATCCGCAGCTTTGAATGAACGTGCAAGAGATTGCAACTGTCTGTTCTTCCCTATCCCATTGGAAATATCTCCAGCAAACAACAAATGCGTTTATGTTAGGCCGAGGTCAGGGCATGTCTCGGAGTGTGCCGCTGTCTGAGTCACCCTTCGAGGAATGAACTTCTTCATGGGGTTCTGCGAAGCTTCTGCGAGGCAGATTTGTTGACAGACGTCCAAGGCGTTTTCGGCCAAGTAGAATGGATACCACCGCGATTTGTTTGTGCCTGATGGCTGAGCTTGGTAGGTGGCATTCTCTTGAACATTGGAGACTTTCGGTGTCGAACACCGCCACAGCCTCCACACCAGAAATGTCAACGCTGTTCTCGGTGAATCTGATCGATGGACTACATCGACAGTCCCTGGTTTGATCACTGGGGATCTATGCTCGCAGGGTTGACGGATACGCCCCGGATCGGAGCCTGGAATCTTTGGAAACTAAAGCACGACTTCGAAGATCGATCAGAAATGGTCTTTCGGTGTCTCGGTCTTGCGAATTCGATGGTACTCTGGCGTCACCACATCTGGATGGGTTTCGTGCCAGCGTCAGAAATGTCGATCCGAGTGCTGTGTTGTGCAGAATTGTGACAGGTGCAAATTGGTCAGATAACGGTGAAGACGACATGGATTCGAGGACTGCAACCGTAAATTGTATTAGGGGCTAGAGGCATTGTCAAGGATGTGTATTGTTGCAGCAACCCGGGTGGGAGGTCGATAGGTTGTTGAAGTGATGCGCAGATGGGTATGGGCTCCTTAAGGTACCTTAGGTTATGAGATGCGATGGGTAAGAACGGCTACTTTGGTACGTACCGAGGTAGCTGAGGTGCCCGAGGAAGGTTCGTGGTTCCAAGGCAAGCACCTTCCATAAAGTGGTTTTAGCTGACTAAACAGCTGCTCACGTGAAGACGCGCCAAACTCTGGGAACCCGTGGGCCCGGTAGTCGCGACTCCATCCTCGCCGGCAGCAGGCATTTTCTCCCCTGAACTCGACAACCTTGCAGATTCGTACATTCACACTGTTTCCCAAGCCCGCTGAATGAAACTGTTGGTGGGCATGTACCGCTGTTGAGCTGCCTTCCTGCCTCGCCTTACTGGTGTTACACTGCCCCGCAACAGCTATTAGCGACATTGAGCCTTCTCGAACCTCAGACGGCCATGGCTGACCCCATGGAAGTCGATTCCGCTCCTTCTGCTGGCACGAAGCGGAAGGCGGAGGATGACCTGGAAGACTCTCAAGGGCCTCGTCGAATTCGCGTGAGTTGCATTTGCCGCTTACTCGGCGTGCTACACTTCTGACAGGCGTATGCAGGCCCTCGATCAGAATGTAGTCAATAAAATCGCCGCCGGAGAGATCATAGTTGCCCCTGTCAATGCCCTGAAAGAATTGATCGAGAACTCCGTTGACGCAGGTGCCACCGCTCTCGAGGTACTGGTCAAGGAGGGTGGCCTCAAACTCCTGCAAATCACCGACAATGGATGCGGTATTCAGGTATGACATGACATGCGTCCTCTTCGTAAATCTACCTATTCGTTCTGACTCTGCTCAAGAGAGAAGACATGGAGATTCTCTGTGAGCGTCATACGACTTCTAAGATCACCGCCTTCGAGGACCTCACCTCCATTGCCACGTATGGCTTCAGAGGCGAAGCCCTAGCAAGTATCAGTCACATCGCCCATCTTTCCGTGACTACCAAGACCAAAGACTCGAATTGCGCATGGCGTGCCACATACCTCGATGGGAAGCTGGCTCCTGCAAAGCCCGGTCAGTCGGCTGAGCCCAAGCCCACTGCTGGCCGCCAGGGTACGCAGATCAGCGTCGAAGACATGTTCTATAACATACCGACACGTCGAAGAGCATTTAGGTCGCCTGCTGAGGAGTACAATAAGATCATTGACATTGTTGGACGTTACGCCATCCATTGTAAGGGAGTGGGCTTCTCCTGCAAGAAGCACGGCGAATCGGGTACCAGTGTATCCATCCAAGCCACAGCAAGCGAAATCGACCGAATACGGCAGATATACGGCTCAAGTGTCGCCAACGAGTTAATGCAGTTCTCAACCTCAGAAGACCGTTGGGGCTTCAAGGCTACTGGATGGGCTACGAACGCCAACTACAACATAAAAAAGACTACCTTTCTCCTATTCATCAATCACCGTTGTGTAGAGTCAACCACCATAAGAAAGGCACTTGAGCAGCTGTACGCCTCATTCTTACCCAAGGGCGGTCGGCCATTCATCTACCTCAGCCTCGAGATCGACCCTGCCCGAGTCGACGTCAACGTCCATCCCACGAAGCAAGAAGTGCATTTCCTGAACGAAGATGACGTCATCCAGTCAATATGCGAGCACATACGCTCTAAGCTGGCAGAGGTGGACACAAGTCGCACATTCATGACACAGAGCTTGCTCCCGGGGGGCCAGATGATGGAGATATCCCCTCAGGCCGAGAGCGAGGGAACCCCAGCGACGCCCGCAAGAGAAACCCCAGGCTCGAAAAGACCACGGAGGAACTCTAACAACCTCGTCCGTACCGATACGAGCTTGCGGAAAATCACCAGCATGCTGCCCTCAGCCACAGCTGCTACGCCCTCCAAGGCATCCCCCGGGCTTGCTGCGGCCGCAGCCGGGGCGGCTGACGAAAATGCCTTGTCTGCCTCAGAGCATATTCAGTACGAAACGGTCGATAGGCCCTTCGCGCCAATGAGGCTTACTAGCGTCAAGGAGCTCCGGGCCGAGGTAAGGGAAGACATGCACAACGACCTCACAGAAATTTTTGCGAATCACACATTTGTCGGCGTCGTCGACGAACGCCGTCGATTGGCCGCTATTCAGGGCGGTGTCAAGATGTATCTTATTGACTACGGTCGGACCTGTTACGAGTACTGCTATCAAGTCGGGCTGACGGATTTTGGCAACTTTGGCACCATCCGCTTCACGCCGCCCCTGGACCTGCGAGAGATCCTCCGCATCGGCGCTGAGGTAGAGAAGGCGAATATCGAGTCTCCCGAGGAGGACTTTGAGATTGAGGACGTTGTCGAGAAGGTAGCAGCCCAGCTCATCGAGCGGCGCGAGATGCTTACCGAGTACTTCTCCCTCGAAGTCTCCCCTGCGGGCGAGCTGCTCACCATCCCCCTCCTGATCAAGGGCTACACGCCCGCCATGGTCAAGTTGCCCCGTTTCCTGCTGCGTCTAGGACCCTGCGTCAACTGGGAGGATGAGAAGCTGTGTTTTGATTCCTTTTTGAAAGAGCTAGCGTCTTTCTATGTGCCTGAGCAGTTGCCGCCGACGGTTGGCGGGGAGGCTGACGAGAATGATGAGGAGGCCAAGGTCGATGATCAGCTTGCGGAGCGGCGGAGAAACGTGCGTTTCGCGATTGAGCATATTTTCTTCCCTGCCTTCAAGGCGAGGTTGGTTGCGACTACGTCGTTGATGAAGGCTGCTGTGTTGGAGGTTGCTGATCTGAAGGGCTTGTATCGTGTATTCGAGAGATGCTAGGAGTGGACAACTTGGTTTCTCATCTCGATCGCGATGGCCCAGCGTCGTCATATGGGATGTTTCTGGCCCCTGGAGACACCTCGGGTCTTCTGGGTTCATCCTCGTCAGAAGGCATGGGGTTTGGCCGTCGAAGTATCTTCGTGTAAAGTAACCATGCAATAGCTGTATAAGACACCTCGGACATTTCACGGAAGCCCCTGAAATCGGAAGAGATCAACTTCCAAATTGACTGGAATGCTTCCTTCACTGTGGATGTCGCTGGGGTTTGGGGAGATGCGCCTGTAGCTTGGCAGAACATGTGCCACGCTTTCAAACCGTCAGTTTGTACCAGGCATAAGGGCTCGAAAGAAAACTCACATAGATCCTCGTCCAACTTGTCGCCTGATATCAAGCAAATTCCAAAAGCATAGAAATCACACCTCCCCCAATAAATCGCCATCCACATTAAGAAGTGTTTTCTGAAAGCGTTTATCCTTCTCAGTCGGATGTGATAGTCTCCATAGGACTCTTCTGAGGTGCGCCCAATCGGGTTGAGTACAAAGATCAAGGCTCCGGTTAAATAGAGCAGTACGCAATTATAAAGGGGAAACCGGTAGAAAAAGCCAAAAGGTATGGTTGCAGGGCCGAAAGAAGGCCGAAGGAATATGAAGAGTACTGCAACAGCAAACGAGACGTATTGCAGGGGATGGACGCAACGGCATACATCGAGAATTGTGTGGGAGTCAAGCGCTTGAAGGATAGAGGGAAAACTGTTAGGGAGGTTTGCGATATTGAAAAGCAGCTCCGATTCGCCGCCGCTCCTTGGAATCCGTGCTGGGGGATTTTTCATGTACGGCTTTAACACGTCTTTCATGGGGCCTATTACCGTCGACATGAGGTTTTGCAATGTCTGAAGTGCAGAGCCTAGCGGGGACACCAGACTGGAGAGACGCAATCCCATGGGGTTGTTTTGGGTCATGGCGTTGTCGGAGGGTGTAGCCTCATGATATTGAGAGAGACCTTCGTTGATATCCGACATGAGCTGCGCACGGCGTTGAGAGACACTTCTCTTGGTAGGAAATCTCGGCAATTCGACAGAGTGTGGCGCCAAACTCCTCCTCCTCTCAATGCTCTCTCTTATCTTGTCAAATGATACCATGTAAGCCGAGCCAGGTGAGCGTGCTACCACCATACCGAGAAGGCCGTGATCGCTTCTCCGGACGACCCATGAGCCGGAGTCACCTGCTTGGAGATCTAGAAGCACGTCAGAGAAATGAGTTCATCAGTCTGCCTATTATGAGAAGAGCTTGACTGCAAATCGTACCGTGTTGCTTCAGCCTGACAGTCCACACTTCGTAGGAGCTGTCTACGCCGCAATGCATGTGCGAGGGATTCGAGGACAACAGCCCGTCAAGGACACCGCTCATGCCCGAGATGATGAGGACTTGCCACGGGAGGGCATCGTCGAAGCTTTTCATGTCAAAGTCGACGAACTTGGTGACCTGTCTGCTTCTCATCGTGTTCTCCGATGATTTGTTATTGGGGATCAAATTCGGTAGGCGCTGTGCTTTTTCAATAGGAATGAGGTCCCAATCCTCCCAGGCCTGATTCTTTTCCACCGGAGAAACCACAGCCCCTCTGTTTGAGCTATCCATCCATGCAGGCTGATAGTTCTGGGGAGTGAGTTCTTCGACTACTTCGACTTCAAGAAGTTCCAGCATCAAGTCGGCCAAGGATGGACTATTTTCCTCCCCATCCGTGACCATCTCGGTCTCCGGTCTGTGTTTTGTTGTCAAGGCAAAACTCTGACTATCAACCTCAATTAGTCCACCGATCGTGGATTTGCTCCGAGAGCCATCGGACTGCCCAAAGATGGCTATGCTGCCGCAAAGAGTCTCTGTGCTGGAAGACTTCACGTCGTATATCCCGGAGCTAGCTGAGAATTCGATGCGACTCGTTTCATAGCAGAATTCCAAGGGTCTGCAAGCGTCCTTGAAGCCCATTCCTGACAACGTTTGGTCGAACGCTATGATATCTTGCGGGCTACTGAGACCAGCGATGCAAATGTATGTTTTGGCGGTGGATTCTTGCCGCGGAGAGAACCTCTCTATGGATACCAAAAATTGTAGGATGGAGGGGAACGGGCGCCCATTTCGATTGTGGAATAATTTCGTAACAACCAGCACTCCCAATGCAAAGACGTTATAAAGATGCCATTCCTCGTCAGTGAAGGCGTGATTGCGTTTTGCCCTAACAAGCTCCAACCTCGGCGGTTTGATGACCCTCTCCTGCCAAGAAAGACAAACTTCGACGTAATCCGCAAGCATACCGGGATCGTGATCGGCCACTGCGTCGCTGGGATAAACTCGAGGCTTGCTGTTTAATCTGGTACTGTATGAGATTGTTTGACAATTTTGATTCATATAGTCGGTGTCTATCAAGATAGGCATCTCATCGTTGAGGATTGTGACTATGAATGCTTCTGCGAGCGCATACGCAGGAAGTCCCACCATGTCAGATGATATCAAAAAGCATATGGCATCGGCAGTGCCGAGGCAGTCTAGCGTCCAAGAAGCGACTGCGATTGATATCAGTAGCATGGCGCGATAAATGTGCTCCTGCGTTACCTCTCGCGAAGCTGGTAACGCTTCAGACATTCTGGATGATCGAATGAATTCAATCACCTCCGAGAAGCGCGTACTGTTCGTTCAATCCCAAAAAAAGAGGGGTATAGAGCATTGACTGATCGCAAATCAGTCAAATATTATCGGTACGTGGGTGTGTATCTGAGTTCGAGGTGTTGTACGAGCATGACGGTGAAGCTCCCGAAGCCCAAGATGCTCGACTTGAGAAAAGAGGGAGGGAAAGGACTAGGATAAGCCACTGGGAGTACGGACTGTACGCACCTGATAAATTGAGGCAAATCGCTCAGGCTGACTCCCTGGTTGGGCTGACCCAAGCTACGCATGCTACTCGTTGGGTTGAGCATCTATCATTGGAAGGGATAGCTGCTGTCTCAGACTCGTCACCAATAAACCGTGCTTACTGCGATCATGCTAAGAGAGCCTGCCTGAAATTTACAATCAACACAGCCCCGTTGGAAGCTTCAAGATCAGACAGTGCCCACGCAATTGCTATTCATCAACAATTGAGGTGGAATTGCTGCAAGCTGAAGTACGAGCGAGACGAAATGGAACCCCTTGGAAATGAATCAGTCGAACATAGCCTTACCAATGCCATTTGGGCAAATAAGGCCGGAGATGGTGCTGCATCGACACGGTGTTTACAAAGTGCGCAACTCTTGAAGTGCTACACGGATCGGTTTGCTGCAACGAGTTCTCTGTGTGACGAAGACGAGCTGCGGAGAACAGTTATAAAGCTCAAATCAAATCCTTCGGCGACGAAAGAATCAATCATCGCCTCTGTCGATCACGAAAGCGCCGAAGCAGTCTTGGAGTGTGCTGTGCGATTGATGTTTATGACAGCATGCCGAACGCAAGGTACCGCACTTGGAAGCTACGATATCCATGAATGGAAGATCGACGAGTCACTGGCATCCTTTCTCAACCGTGTGTATCCACAAGCGTTTGCTGGAGGAATACCGGAGCAGTCCGTCAGCATCGGAAACCTTACCGCCCATACCCTGTCCAAAAACGCTGGGGTCAATATCGTAGCGACTGACACTTTGTCGGATCATCTATCCTTGATCAAAGGAGAGGGCTTCAAGACGTTGTTGGTCTTTCACCACCGTGCATTCCTCGAACATGGCCTCGAGGTACTCAAGGCCGACAATGCGGATCTGGGCCACACCAAACTTGAAGCTCTATCTTTGTAAGAATCAGTCTTGTCCGTCTCTCTAAGAAGAACAAAACACCTGCTAAGTAGCAAAATAGTGGCTGCTTGCCGTCTGAGTTCCTTTTAGAGACCCTCAGAACCCTCGACCTCGTGTTTCCTCCCTTTGGTGACAAGCGATCCCAGCGAATTCTACAGAAATGGGTTCAACGACAAGATCTCGACCCGGATCTCCTCAAACCGTGTCTTCTCTCTCTATATCACTCGGCCGACCAGGATATACCCGAAGACCTTCAGGACCTGTACACGCAGTATCCGCATTGGGCCCCGAGGCTGGCCCGTCTGCTGAAAGAGGTCGAAGACCCGACACCGACAACAAGGTGGGAGCGCTATGCGGAACGGAGGAAATCCCCACGGCATATGTACAAGTGCGCTTTAGCCGCTTTTATAGTGGCGGCAATCTTCGGTATCCTTGCAACGGTGCTGGCAGCGATACAAGTCTGGATATCATACTGCGCCTGGGTAGACGACCCGATGAAGTCTTTGTGCGGGGCGAAGAAGACCCCAACTCCTCGACTTTGAGTGGAGGCCATTGGGAGTATCTCAAGAACAAAATAGATCCGAGAAAACAGTTCCGAGAACTTTTCAAGCTTGATTCGCTTTGTTCCACTCATGTCAAAGAGCAGGAGATGTTCTACAAAACGCCGGCGAGGTCGGCCAGAGTGTAAGTCGGGCGAGCCGAGGTGGAGCCCGATCGCCGATCGCCGTTGCCGTACAGTGTCCGCGCCGTCACTCAATCCTTGACAAGCCGCCTTAGTCTGATGGAAACCATACAGTGCTCAAATGACACCTTACATGGCGCTTGTGATCAAATCCAGTTGCCATTCCAGACCTGCCGTGCTCAGACTTCCAAGTTCCCGTCACTCATATCCTCATTCAAACAGCAACATCACTCAATCTCATATTCACACCCAGAGTCTTCAATTCACATTTGACCATTCGAATCAATTGAGCATACTGCATTCCAGCCATGGCTTCGCGACCAGACATGGACGACGAAGACCTAACCTTCCACTGCTGCGCGCCTCTCCGGCCCTCAGAGCTCTTGAGACCAATTGACGTCGGCGACCTTGGGTAAGTACGATACTCACTCACTCTCTCCAACTCACCTCTCAATCTCTGCTCAGGTTGATCTCACTTGTGAATTGATTCTTTGAAAGCTAACATACAATGTCACAACCAGCGGCTCAGGTCACGCAAGAAAATCAACCTTCCTGGCCTGGCCCATCTTCGGCCCCCTCCTCTTCCAAAACGAAACGAGTGATGCGCGCGACCACTGCGCGAATGAGAGGAGTATGTCAAGATGCCTTATCACAACCCTCAATCTCATCACCCATTACTCATCGCTCATCACTCACTCACTCACAACATCACAGCATTCCTAAGCTACCTCCGCCTCTCAGTCTACATGTCCATCGTCGCCGTCGCCATCGTCCTCTCCTTCCACCTGAAGTCCGAACCCAGCCAGCTCGAGCTGCGCATGGCCAAACCCCTCGGCATCATCTTTTGGATCCTGGCCGTCGCGTGTCTGTGTCTCGGGATCGGCAACTACATAAGTGAGTCTTTCCTCCCCTACGGTGCAAGCCCCCCCAAAAGCGCAGATTGGCTGATGTGGATGCATGTAAGAAACCGTCAACAAGTATAGTCGCAAAGCGGCCATCGTGCAAACCGGATGGAGGACGCAGCTCGTAAGTTCTCATTGTCTCCCCGCCTCTTTTTCACGCCAAATTATGAGGTTTTCTTCATATTGACTCGAATACCCCAGGTCCTTGCCGTGGTGGCTCTCAGCATCGTAGGAACATGTGTCGTCTTACTCGTCATTACAAAGATTTCAGCCAACTCTCAAGAGGGAGAAAAAAACTCATCAACTACCGCGGAAGCAGCAGCAGCTTTTGTCGCGGGACCAGTCTTGAAGTGAACAATCTGCAACAAAAAAAAAATCTCAATTCGCTTATTTGTATCCCACCTTTTTGTGCCTTTGTCTTCGTCGCGCCATGTCAGTCCATGCTGATGTTCCATCCATCCCGTGGGTATATAAAAAGGGTCTATATAGTATACACTTGGCACAAGATTCTCTTAATCATCTTGACCGGCAGGTTGTCCCTCCTTGGGATTTGCTCCACACTCACTTCATTCTCCATTAAGCCTTGAGTTTACCATCTGGTGTGCAAAATAGATCCCTCGCGGACCCATCCACGTGATCCCGCTGAGACTCTTCTTTGCTGCAGCCACCGACTTGCTCGCGCCATGTGAACATGTACTCTATCGCCATTTGATAGATGTGCCTAAGGTTCGTTCCCTCGCCCTCCCAGCCGAGCAGTGGAAGATCATTGGCGGGCTTGAGACTACCATTATTCGGCAGCGTGTCCATCGTCTGGACCAGGGACCCGGAGCCAAACCTCGATTCCGAGAGACTCGCCGTCCTCTTACCCTCCCCACCTTCCTTCTCGTATTCCTCGGGAGCCTGGTAGAGCTCCTGGTGCACTGTCGCGATCGTGGCTGCCGTCTCGGCGCTGGGGTACAGCGTGAAGTAGCCCCTGAGCCGGGACAGGCGCAGCATATGTTCCAGCCAGGAGGGGTACATCTTGCTGACCTGCTTTTCGGCAATCAGCGCCGGCGATGGCTCGGCACCCCGCGCGTGTTGTAGCGCGTCGACTTGCGATACGAGGCCGTGTAGCTCGATCCACCTGTCACCGAAGAAGAGAACGGCGTTGCTGTTGGGAGCTTGCCACAGGTAGGAAGTTCCGGGTTCGAGATCGCTTGCGCCTTCTGCCGTCGGCTCGATGAAGTCCTTCTTGCCGTTCAGGTACATGGAAGGCGTGGTCATGCTGATGCCGAGCAAACGTTGGTCCCATTTCTGGAGGGTGGTCAGGCGAGAGTAGCGGTACTCCAACACCGTATACTTGAGGTCTGGTAATCGTTAATCAGATGTTCTAGTTCTTGTGACATGGAGTATGCCTACAATGGAAGAAACCAGGCGCAAGCTCCGCCTGTGGCGAAAGAACTAGAATATGAGAGTACTTTGGCGTTGTTGGCCAGAAAGACTCAAGGAATCGTATGGAGCTCTCCTCCTCCGTCATACGCTGTCTCGGGATTCTATGCCTTAGGGAGAGCATCTGCACGCGCCCGGGGTTATGCACGTGTGGCGGCGGCCAGCGGAACGTCTCGAGGAACTTGGCCGTCGCAGGTTCAATGTCTTGCGGTAGCTCAATGGTGAGGTGAGGGATCGAGAAGGCAGTGAAATCGGCGTCATTGAGAGACTTGAGCAGCCGCAACAGGCTGCCTGACCCGCTCGCCGGGGCCTGGATCAGGATGTCGACGCTGACCTGGTTCCACGCAGCTAGGGAAGCGCTGTCAAGCTTCGACAACCATGAAAGATGTGTCCAGGCACCAGCGGGAAGCTCAATCAGCGGGGTCTTGAGCCTGCCCGTCTCGTCGCGCATTCCTTTCGTGAAGGGGACGTATTCGTCGTCGGAACCGTCAATGAGGATAGCTTGAGGATGCATGTATGTGCTTATGTGTCGCAGCGCGCGGACCGCGGATTGTTCGAGTCGAGCGTCGGTCGAGAGGGGGGAGAAGTCGGCTCGGGCATCGTGCCAGATGATGTAGCAGGTATCGTCCACGCCGTTGATCTTCTTGAGCTCGTCGAGGTTGATGTCGCTCCTGCTCATGACGGCAAAGTGTACGTAGCTCCTCAGCTCAGTGCCCATCTTACATGCGAACGGTAGCAAGCTCGATATGCTGCGCAAGTTGGAGGCGGCGAAGAGGACATTTTGGTTGATGGGCTGGCTGCCCTTGGTAGCAGCAATGGCGTGCAGCGAGTTGGCGAGCCGGTGGAACTTGACGGGGCCATTGTAGTCGTGTTCCGTGGCTGGCGGGATGGGTTGACCTTGAGCTAGTCGGCCGGGCTTTCGTGAGGAGGGATCGCGGGACGGAGAAGCGTCTTCGGGGTACGGGTAGATGTAGTTCGGGGGCCGTTGGCCGAAACCGAGGGAGAGGTCGCTCAAGAGGTACCAGAGGCCGGCGGCAATGACGAGGAGGTAGGCGATGCGTCGGAAGAGGCGGCGGGAGGGCATCTTGGCGGTGGGCTGCCATTGGGGGTTCCTGTTTCGAAGCAGCATGGGGTTCTTGATGGCGCTGCCGCCAGGGCGGTGATGGTCGTCGTCCTTCTTCCCCATCTCTTCATCGCTGAGGAAAACGAAGGAGCGTAATTGGCGCCATGGATCCGGCATGCTTCTCTATCTGGGAGGGATGGAGAGGTGCAGCAGCGATGGGCCTGAGGACAGTTTAAAGGAAGAAGAGGGGAAGAGAGAAAGTAAGAAGGGCAAGGGAGAAGTGGAAGCGAAGGTAAGACGAAGCGTGCGTGGATGGTACACGTTCACCGAAAAAAGGACTGAAAGTTGCAAGGGAGGGGGGAGCGGTGATCCGAGGGTTGGGCGTCTCACATCTTCCCGTCGAGGTGGTAGAGAAGCTGGCTGGGCTGCGTTATCCGTTGGAAAGCTCCAGATGCAAAGTTGAAGGATAACTGACGCAGGAGTAGGAGGAGGGCGAGTAAGGTCGAGGCTAAAGCTGAGCAGCAGCGAGCGTACAGGACAGCACAGCAGTTGAAACAGACGCAGTTGCTGAAGCGGGCCAGCGAGACGGGATCAGATAGGACTGGCCGGGATGGGATGAGAGATGCCGTGAGATGCGATGCGCAAGGTAGTCGTTCGTACTCCGTACACGAAAGGTCAGAAAGGTCGGCGCAAGCGTGGGAAACAACAAGTGGTCCCCTTTTCCCATGCGGTTCCCCTTCGTTTTCCTCCCCTGTTGGAACGTTGCCGGCAATTGATCACCTAGATGGGCCAGACCTTGACGAGAGATTTGAGATCCCAGGGTTGTCTGCTCCAGCTGGGCTGTGCAGCGTGGTGCAATGTCACAGACGCGAGCTTTGGTGGGTACTGGGTGGTGGATCTGTGGAGCTGGTCCGGACGTGGCCCGGAGGAAGATGCGCGTGGTGGGGGTGGACGGACGATCTCGAAGCTCTTGCTCTTGCTCTTGCTTTTTGCTTTGGATGGTATGCTAGTGAACCGTGATAGGTCAAGGTCGACGTGGACTCGAGGATTTGAGAGGTGGTGGTCACGGTCGTACGTGTGCGTGTGCGAGAGAGACCGAGCGAGAGCCAGCGGGGATCCGAAGACTGTACAGACTACGGAGTATTCGTACCTGTACGTACATAGTGCCGATAATGACAGCTGCACGAAAAGGGATCGAGGGAGAGACACAAAGGTAAAAAAGCAAAAGTGGCATTAAGTGAGGTCCGTTAAGGGGACCGTTGAAAAAAAGGCGTTTAAAGTGTCCGGCTCGGCGTCCGTCTGGTGGTGTCCCAAGCAAGGAATGGGCGTGTGACACGGTGACAGCAATGTCATCCATCATTCTAAGCACGTACTTGCGGCAGTACGTATGCTACGTACCTGGGTTGAGTTCCATCAAACGCGACTGCCAAATGCCTAACTTGACAGCTAAGAGGTGTTAAACGTCAATTGAACCTGTCTCTCCCGATGTCTCACAAGGTTGGGGAACGCAATGTACTGTTCCTGACCTTAGCGTGGCGCCCCTACGCGGTAGGCGGGGAAAGGTACCTTACAGGCTCCCGTCAGCCCAGGTATCCCGTCCCTTGAGCACTGAAGCTTGAACTTTCCGGCCCGGAAAACAAGCCTGGACTCTCTCCCTCGATCGGGCATCCGAGCCATGTATCTGCCCGCGTCTGCCTATGTATAGCACACTAAATATGCCATCCCTGCTGTACTCTTTATCCCATGGGCCGTTATTCCACGTTGTGTTCCACAGTCAACGTGAGAAAAATGAGTACGTACTGATAGATCTGGTCGATGGATGGGACCAATTGGTGAGACGACTGGTGATTGGTGAATGGAGATCTGTGGTACGGGATGCCGGGCGGGAACACGAGCCACACTGTGGCTGCCCATAGCAACACCTTTTTTTGAATTTTTTTTCTGTTCGTTACTCTATTTTTTCGGGAAGTGAAGCATTGGGAACTTTTTTGATAGGGTCGGTCACGAACATTGGTCCAAACCCCGAATAAGAAGCCATCTCCAAAACTCACAATATCTCATCCTCACTCTCTTCACATCCACAACACACTACATAAGATCTCACACATACACCCAATCATACTCGTACAAAATGGGAAAGTCAAGACGAAACAGAGGCGGCCCAAGCCATCGCAAGGACCCCATCGCCAAAACCGTCAAGCCCCCCTCCGACCCCGAGCTCGCCGCCCTCAGGGAAAAGTCCATCCTGCCCGTCATCAAGGACCTGCAGAGCGCCGACCCCAAGTCGCGCACCGCCGCCGCCGAGGCCGTCTCCAACCTCGTCTCCAACGAAAAGTGCCGGAAGCTGCTGTTGCGTGAGCAGATTGTCCACATCGTCCTGAACGAGACCCTCACCGACGCCAGCCTCGACAGCCGCGCCGCCGGTTGGGACATTTTGAGGGTTCTCGCCGAGGAGGAGGAGGCCGACTTTTGCATCCACCTGTACCGTCAAGATGTGTTGAGCGCCATTGGTTTTGCTTCTCAGACTGTAAGTCAAGTTGTCACTTATTTCAAACTCACTAACAAGAACCCGTGTATGTGAGTGAGTGTGAGTATCTACCGTGCGCTAACATGACAAACCCAGGTTCTCCAAAACCTTGCCAAGGGCTCATCTCTGAGCAAGGGCGAGACAAAGGTCACCTGGACCATCACCGAGTCCGTCATTGGCCTTTTGTCCGCTCTCGCCGAGGCTCAGGATGAGGTTCTCGAAGCCATTGTGGGCATCGAGGGTATCAAGCACTTGCTCTTCACCGTCATCGCTCACCCCGACACACCGTCAAGCATCTGCCTCGACGCTCTCTCTGCCCTCCTGACTCTTTCCGAA